GACCTGCGATGGAACTGGCAACTTATAAATACATATCAACAACACTTAAAAAGGTGTACAACATATTATGACACGTGGGTATATGTTAGTTCAATACTATGGTTTTTTTTTTAGATGCATATATCAACTGAAAATTATTTCAGTCACGTACCCTATAGAAATTTTGATAACTCAAATAAATATGGATGGACAAATCAGGACAATACCTGGACGCCAATATTTTCGACACAAGATCCTGTGCCACATAAAATCAGAAACATTCTGGTTTTGCGATGTTTTGATGCAACCTGCAAAGTGGCATAGCGGAATCTTTGGATGAAGATTTCTAAATGATAGAATGTAGGAATACATATTTTGCTCATTCAAAAATTCAAAAATAAAAATGTTCATTAGTTTATTAAATTTAAGTCTATACTTTCTTGATTCTCCTAATCATCGGCTTACGATAATACATTCTTTGCTTCGATGGGTCAGCGTAAACATATTTCATACGTATGGCGACGTTCAAAAAATCTTATTTGAAATACTATTGCGGATAAAAGACTGCATTTTTTTTTAATTCCTCATGTATTTTGCTCTATTTCAATCGCAGCATATAGTCTGAAAATTTTCCAAATAAAAGTTTCTCGCTTACTGACAATTTACATACAAAAATTCCAATTCATATATGTATTGAAAAAAATGGAAAATAAATAATCTAAAAATTATAACGCCTCAGATATCATCGCTTATGTATGGTCTTCAAGTCATAGAAAAAATCATTCGGATAAGTTGAATAGTTTAGGAGTTATTGGAGAGTGAATGACAAAAAGTCTGTTTTTTAATTTTCCCGTTTTTGCCAGGTTTTTAAATTTAACAATACTCGATGCCAATAAAAAAAAGCCGTAAATATATATTTCATATGTACAATAAGCCAAGTAATAATTTCGGACAGGTTTCATCTGGTTCTAAGTCGATTATTTTTTTAAAAGGAAGCGACTTTTACAGGCTTTTTTTACTCATTTTAGTTTTACATTGAGGATAAATGCATGAAATAAATGAAAAATAGTATATTATGCAACAAGCGCGGTAAATGGCATTTGACTCACGAGTTTATTTGACACGAGCGGAGCGCAGCGGATCGAGTTTTTAATAAACGAGTAAGTTAAAAAGTTTACCGAACGTGTTGCATACTATACTTTTTCTACGACCGTTAGTTTTTGGGTACATTTTCGCAAAATAACACGAATACATTCACCGAAAACATCTAAAAACTAACCAAAACATCGGATTGCTCCCAAACCCGTGCGGTAAAATCCTGGAAATGTCGGAAGTGATTCGGATTCGTGGGAAACGAAACTGACGTGGTAAAGTGACGCTAGATGGGTGTGTAATTAGGCATTTTACAGACGGGAGTGGAAAAAAACCAACGGTCGCAGAAAAAGTATAGTATGCAAGACGTTCGGTAAACTTTTTAACTCATTCGTTTATTAAAAACTCGCCCTGCTCGTGTCAAATAAACTCGGGAGTCAAATGCCGTTTACCGCACTTGTTGCATAATATGCCATAATAGTTTAAACAACTCGTAGTACTTAAAAATTAGTTTTCATTGTTTTTCTTGTTTAGTTCAAGCTGGTGGTGGTGGGGAGACATTGACTAGAAAATAAACGTAAGACGACCAAAGAAATAGAATACTGAGTCGCGTGAAAGCCCAGATAGAGAAAATCAACAAATATTTTCGAGATGCAAAAAGTGCAGAAGATAAACTGCTGGTAACATAAACATTTCTAGCCACAGGTGAAACTTATCAATGCCTGATGTACCGGGTGTACATTTTTCGATGGTTTTACGGAATTTTCATAGCCTTTTCATAATCCAAATATGATATCATAAAAGGAGATTTTAATGTCCACTTTCGCACTAATAAACCAAAGTTATTACCATCGAACGACTTGATTAATTCTTCTAATTTTAGGTATATTAGCAAGAAGAAAACTAGAAAATAATATTGTTTCGATAATATAATTACAATTATATAAAAATAAATGCTGACATTGTCGATCATGGAGCTTCCTGTTCACAATATTACAAAAAAAAAGTTACGTAAGTTTAGTCAGGAAGATATGTTAAAATTTTTCACCAAGCTGGTTAAAGCTATAGTCAAAGGACAAGAAGAAAGCAAATTTACGAGTGCAACATTTTGCGATACCACCAAACAGTTCCACTGCGCGGTTTACTAAACTCTATTAAAAAAAAAAAAATATTTCAATTTTGACATCTTGAGCCGAAACCTGATGGCGTTGTTTGCCGATGACACTACTTTCTTAATAAATAAAACAAATCTTACTGAAGCACTTGCTGTAGCCAACTCTGAGCTAACAAGAGCTAAAGACTGGTTTACAAAAACTAGCTTAACCCATAAGGAAGAGAAAACAGTTTCTTTATTCTTCTCTCAAAGGCCCAACCAAGCAAATAATGAACGCAGTGCAAAATCCTTGCGAGTTCATTTAGACCCTAAACTAAATTGGTGTCACCACACAGACCAAACGGCTAAAAAAATCCCAAAAAATATTTTCCTAAAACGTAGCTTAAAGGGCAGTGCAGACTATAACATAGGTATATCAGCATATCATGCCCTAATTGGCTCCCACTTACTTTATGGTCTGATAAACTGGGGCCAGGCTCCCGGTGCAGCAAGACCCTACATCGTAGGGTAATTAGAATAATCACAAACCTCAAATACAGAGAGGATATTTCGGAGCTTAAAATCCTTACACTGCCAAGCGCTTATATACTTAAGTGTCGAGCTTATGCTTACGAGATTTTTTACACGTGAATGAAATTACATGTGAAGAGAAAATCTCAGACCTGACTTCTTCAGTCTTAATGCAAGCAGGCTGATTTCAAATTACTACTGCGTCCATTTTTTTAATAAACTTAATCCCGAGACAAAACAACTCTCAATAAACAGGTTCAAAGACTTAGTCAAAGACTCTTCAATAAAGCAATCTCCTTACAACTTGGACGAGTTTATCTTTTTTCAAGATATCAATAGTTATATCGAGTCAAATCAGTGCACCTCTCTGACTGTCCGCTTTCGGTGTCAAGTTTCTGTGATAATCCTTGTTCAACTTTAATGTCTAAATGCTTTATGTAAATGTTTTATGTATATTGTATGTTTTCAATATTATGTTGTAAAATTGTTATTTCATGTTATATTTTATTGCCATGACTGTGGCATTCTCTTTTTTTTCAATTCAATCGACAATTATTTTTCAGAAATACACCAAAGATATTTTTTCTAAAATATATCGCTCACCCTTCGCACTTTGTATCTGCTTATATATACTTTCAGTGGGCGGAGCTAGAGGAAGGGCATGAACAAAGCTTCTGCAGGCTACTGTAATACTATTTACAAATTTTCACGATTCCTGCTGGGTAGGTTGTTGATCGAGCTTGCTGACAATTCGCAGATCATAATGGAAGGGCATGAACATTGTTTTGGAAGACTGATTCCCATATTGGTGAATGGAAAGATCTGGGTCGCGGTTGAGATTGTTTGCTTATAGATTTCGATAGATTCTCGGATTATTAATTTTTAGAAGAATTGATTTTAATTTTATCGAATAAAATTTGATATTCGTTTTCATAACTGTGTTCGCCAATTGTTGATGAGTTTGTTTGTCGTAATCTTAAGGCTCCATCATGTTGATATTTTCCGTCCGGTCTCTCCAATTATTATACAGTAAAACAAGGCAGGAGGAATCCAGAATATTTGTAAATAGTATTACAGTAACTATGGAAGTTCCTTTGGAAAATTAATAGATCGCCCTGTATATTTTTAATAATACGGAGTTTGACAAAAGCATCTATGGTTGTCTTGAAGATTTGAAAAAAAAATGTTCGTTTTGTTATTTGGTCATGATAGATATTTTAAAAACAAAATAACAAAGTTCTGCCGTATTCAGAAATTCTTCAGTTTCTGTCAAAATACCGCGATTTATGTTTTTTGCAATTTGTGTTGCAAAATTTAATCAAAACCAGCCATGGCAGCCAATATTAATACATTTTTTACAAAAATTGTCATTAAGTAGAGCAAATACATAAAAACGCCTTTTTATAAAAATTATTCTAAATTGAAGCCAAAATAATAAAACTGGGACTTTTATAGAGGTTCCCAACGGAATTTTTGGTGCAAAACTACTACACAGTGCACTTCCGAGTAAAATGCGTCCTTTTCTTATTTAAATTGACGTTTGACATTTTTGGAAACTAGCTACCGAAAAAAGATAACTTTGATTAACCCGTAGAATACAAAAATGTAAAAATATACAAGATGTTTCATTTAAAATAACGCTTCCGGCAAAACCAGAAGTGCTATTGAATTGTTTTATAGCCAAAATGTAGCCATATGTTATCTGTAAATTTCAAATTTGTCTTGACAGGCTTATCGCTTGGCTAGTAATTTCATTGACATCCGGTATATGCGAACTTTTATTATTATTTTTTTAATACCAAATTGTTACTTATTCTTTAACTTTAATGTTTTTAGTCGGACCATGATGTTCTTTTAATTCTACCACTTTTAGTATCTAAGTATAATAAAAAGAATGAAAAAACTTGACTTAAATCTGTCAAAAAAGTACTAGCTCGTCTGTGGCCTATTCATTTGGATAAGTTTTTTTTAATGTTAAACCAAATGTTATGCATCAAAAAGTGGGTGCTTCTAAAAGCGAGAAATTTTACAGAAAAATGGATTTTTCACTCATTGTGGGGGGAAGAGCTTAGCAATAAACACGTTGTAAATAAGAAACAGAAAAAGATGTAGTGTAGGGTCGGACTGCGAAAAGAACAAAATAATACCACCGATATTCCTCTGAAAAGGCAGGCAGCACCCCTTATGAATGAATGTCATTAGATCAATCATCAATTATCAATACGCGTGTATTTGCGAAGGCACTGTAGTGTGCGGAAAGCGTGATTTTCGCGCCTGTTGGTGAATATTTTAATTTTAAACTCACCGTGAACATCCCCGGAGCTGAATCCGTTAGATTTTCGTCAATTTCGCCCCTCCCGGCGCGGAACCTCAGTCTTATTTCTCGCACGTTAAAACGGGAATGTAAAAAACAATCGAAAGTTTCGGAAAACTGCCTATTACTACGCGGATAGTAGTCGAGCGTAATTTAAAACCCGACGTATAGGTACCAGTAGGTACCGCGCAAGTTGGGTACTTTGGGTTCCGCAGTCGACTGTACGCGGTACTGGTCGTGGAAGAACCCGAACCGCCTCGTGTCGTACTTTCCAATCGATCAATGGCAATTAGAAGGGCGATTAACCAGACATTCGTCACTGTCCATTGTTCCATTATGATCGATTTTCCAATTTTCGAATTACTAATCGAACTCCCTCCGTCGCGTTATTTATTTATTTCGATGGACCAACGTCATCACGAATCGACCAACTCGGTCTAAAAAGCATAAATTAATGTAGAATCAATATCCAGCTTTCCAATTATATCGTCGGGTTAGCGTTACTCAAGTGTTCGTTCGGAGAAAATTAACTATTCTAATTACTAATTGCACTGTAAAGTAGTTTCAACTTATTTATTTGATGCCGTTTAACCAACTCATACAACTTAGAGGTTCTGTTTTTGTTGTTTTGCGATGGTGTTCAATGGCTATTTAGATGTCGTAGTCTGTTCGACAGAGAAATAAAAGCAATATATACGCCAGTGTAACCTATTTAGAACCTACGGGCCTAAAGAGCTTTATTTACTAAATACCACCGTTTAACCACAAACCACAGTACACTGTGCGTTTATCAAAATAACCCGACATACCTGGGAACTAAGTTTGTAGACTCACCGTATCTTTGACTAGGCTCAAGTAATTATACTTTTATAGTTGTAATTTCGTAGTACAAGGCATTATATCGCTATAAAATCCACAAAAAGAACACAAATTGATTGGATGGGAGCATTTATTGCATACAACAGTAATTTTTTTATTATCGCGGTTGGCATTACTATTCACGTAGTTGTACGTGTTTCCAGGATCTGCAAGTGGGATTGAAATTTATTTATGTTACGTAATAGTTTAAAGTTTTTGTTGATGACGCTCCAAAAGAAGTCTAATACTAAAACAAAGTAAATAAGAATTAAAAGTTCAGATTTTCACGAAATTATATATTTTGACGTGACAATTGTTTCGACAACACCGTGTCTTTATCAAATGTTTTATGTTACACTTATTTATTTTGATAAATCGATTTTCATCAAGTAAAAGCCATCTCGGTTCAATAACATTAAAACACCGATCGAAAACTTAAACGTTGTTTCACCAATTTCGTTCCGTCCTTCCTTTTCGGCGAATCGGAATCGACCGTTGCGTTTTAACAGTTCAACCAAGCAAAAATTAGTCAATTTGAAAAAAATAAATTCAATAGGAATATTATATTCCCTTCTAACAGGACGAGCGTTTTTTTTTCGCACCCTATATTTTCAAACCAATTTAAAAAACCCGCAGGTTGATTCCACAGATTCATAAAGACGTAGCTAAAAATAACTGACGCGTAGCCCCTAGCCCTACATAGACGTGAAACGGCCTCTGGCCAACGGTATCACGATTTTTCTACCGGTTTTACGTCAGGTGGTATTTTCTATTTATAGCGATACTCAAAGTTAAGTGCCGCTTCTTCTTTCCTTCGCGATCTACATGGTGAAGAAAATTGATTTAGTGGTGAACCCGTTGCGTTATCGCTCTGATGACGTTGGAGTACATTTTCAAAATTGTAATAAAAAAAATCACTTCTTAAACCAAAAACAAGGCAAATCAAAAATCCCGGCAAGGTGTCATCATAGACATGTGGTTAATTTTTTACATGTATTAAACTGTCAATGGTAAACCTGTAAAATCCAGTATGATTTCTTACTTTTTTCTAGTTTTTAGTATGAAATTAGGGGTTAATGAAATATAACTTTTAATAATAATTGATATATATATATATATATATATATATATATATATATATATATATATATATATATATATATATATATATATATATATATATATTTACATCCCGCGGTTATTTTGCATCATTTCACTTTGCGACTATTCTGCAACTTTGCAATTAAGCATGCTACACTATATGTACTGCATGTATATTGAAGAGAAAAAAAATAGGTTAAACGTAATGTACTTTATTTTCCGAAAACACAAAAATTTAAATATACATTTTTTTTCAAGTTGCACAACTTTTTACATCCAGTACAAAATATCTAATTTGCGTCCTTTTTGTATAATTTTCTTTCATATGCTAAAACAAATTGCATCCGTATTCTTCTGGAGGGGGAATATACGGCACATTATAAAATTATTTTGCGTCCACAGATGTTGCCAAGTTTATAATATTTACTTCGCACGTAACCACATAGGTGGGTGCAAAATGAACTGTATATTACTTGAGAAAGATAACAAACGTTTTACTCATATAAATAATTGTACAAGTCAAAATATTCTACATGTCAGTTTTTGATATATTATGACTATACATATAGTCATAAAAAGCAGATGAATTGCGGGTGGTGTGGTTCTAATGCCGGCTGTGACAAAAACATGTCAGGTCACCACTCGTCCCATTCTCACACACTGTCAGCACACTGAGGCATTACAAATCCACTATTTGCCCTAATTCAATTGTTTTTTTGTTGTTGTCTTATGGAGCTCTCAAGAAGTAACATGATTCATTGAATGACAACTAAATTTCACCGGCAGCAATTTAATTCGACGGCCTACGCCAGATAGTACTCGTTCTACTCAGCGCGTTATTTTGCTTTTTTAGGGAAAGCTGGTTGTACATTGACTTCTGCTGGATTTCTTTTCCACAGATTTTGGTTGTCAGCGACCATACCTAACCGAGGAAAAATCTAGAAGGAGTCAATCTACCGTCGACAGCATGCCGACGTTTCTTTAAAAAATCATTGGTGGTTCAAGTACTAAATAAAACGCTTTTCGAGAACACAATTATATATTTTATTTATTTATTTATTTTTTGAATATTGATTTTGTACAAAAACTTTAATTTTATGCCCATCTTTATTTTGAAGCAACGCTGGGTATAGTTCGTTCAATTCTTTGCATTTGGGTGCCTTCTTATTTTTTATTTGTTTTGAAAAATAGAATGTAACTACATTTTTTTGTTCTTCTGTCAATGGAATCAAAATCCTTTTTCGCTTTTTGTCCTTTACTTCTAAAACTGGTTCTAAACTAATGCTTTTTCCTTCTGTTTTTTTTTACATCCTGGATTAATTCTTCGATTTGATCCATATCTTTTGTTTCTTTTTCCGTTTTCCTACTTGTTTTCGTCGAAGTTTCTAGATCTTCATCTTCGCTAGTTTCTTCATTTAAAAGATTTTCTTCTAAATCAATTGTAATTTCGTCCAAGCTTTTCCCCTTATGAACACCTGCCTCTCCTTTTTCCATTAAAAGAAGAAGCTTGGATATCTTTGCTGTCTGATAGACATCGTCTATATGATCCTCTATGCACGTTGGATGTATGGCCCATGAAATTTGACAGTTGTTCAATTTCATTTTCGGTTAGATTGAATAATTGTGTTAGCGTTGCAAAATGTTTTCGTAGCCTTGTGAATGTTATAGCTTCACACACATAGCGCCACAACCTTTAGCATATTTTGCAACAACTTTGTAGCCACGTATTGGAGTATTCGTGTTAGGGTTTGCAAAAAGGTAGGGGTTGTTGTCATTGACGAAATTTGATCTCGCCTGTAGTAGTTGATCAATATGTACCTGCATATCGTGACTAAATATGACTGGCACTCCTCTACCCCTCTTTCCTCTAATCACTATTCTTTTAAAGTGTTGTAACAAAATTTTTTCTGCTTTCGAGATAACTTCACTAAATTCTTCGTAAGAGTTTGATGATTTTTCTGAAGCAACGTAAGTATCCTTAATAAACGCTGTAATTCTCCTGGTCTCCTTCTATTCAATAAAATAATTCTACAATACACTGTCTCCATCAAAATTAAGAAGGCATTGACATTCACTGCATTTGCAGAGAGTAAATTGGCAGCTTCTTTTGCAGTAGATATTAAGTATTCTTTTAGAAGTTTTAGATCAGACGCTAGGGGAACAATTGTTATTTTATTAAATTTATTGATGTTTAGATCAAATTTACCATCGTTTTAAATCGAGATTCAATATTTGCCGTTTCAACTGACGGTTCACTTTTTAGGGTCATATAAGTTGCAATATCGCAACACTGTCTCAGAGATGTGGAAACACTTCCTTTATGCTATCAAATCTGGCCACAGATTTTGTAGCTTCCACCAGTTTATCGTAGTGCTTTGGATGCAATGCTTCAAATAGATTTGCTATGTTTGGATCCATTTTTTTAAGCTCTAATAAAATTCTTGACAACTCTCGCATTTTTCTACTTGTAACATTAATAAAATGTTTTTCGCAATGTGTCTTAAGATAACGAGCTCCAAAGGCACATATTAAAAAGTCATTCTTTGCCTCTAAAGAAATCTTTTCAGGTCTCATTCTAGGAAAAACCTGATCTTTTAATTGTTGGTCAATTCGGGTCAAATTTTTTATCAAAAAGTTTTGACTTGCAACTTGAGCATTTTTTGATGAACTAGCCCCTGTGCATTTCTTTGTGTGTCGATATAAAAATTTCGATCTGTAAAATCCCAAGCAGTTTGTGCATGGCAATATTTTCTTTTGTATTTCTCAAAGCTTTAATTGTGTTTATTTTTGTATTTAGTTTTGTTTCGTCCTGAAACGGTTCTTAATCCGTAAAATATACGCCACCAATAGCTGACAATACTTACAGAGTCTGGTTGAGATTCTTCTGAATTTTGCACTCGAATATTCTCGTAATTTTCTGTAAATGAAAACCAGGTTATAGAATGTTAAAATAACATGACAAAGCAAAGTGAAGACATTCTTGTTTATACCACGATAAAGCCTCTAAATCACTGAATCAGTTTTGAAAAAATTGTCTGAAACCGACGATTTGCAACCAAAATGTTATGATATGCTTTAAATATATTTTTTTATATTGCAAGATACCTTCTTAAATTACCACAAAAAGAAACTTCCAAGGTATGGTTTAACACTCCCTCACTTATTTGAAAATATAATAAGAAAATGTATGTGAAAAGAGCCAAATACAAGAAAAACAAAAAATAATTAAACGATCAAAGCAAAGAATTGTTTTGTTTTTTAGCGGAAAGTTTCTTGCTCTTGGGTAATCGTCCAAGTTATTTATTATTACCTTCTTAAATTTACAGATCTCTATTTCTGAGTCTGACGGCGATCTATCTGGAAAAAATTCTGCGTCGGCATCGCTATCGTCGAATGTAGAATGTGGCGAAAAATCACCCTGCAAAAGTTACTAAAATATAATATCATCATTTTTCTTAGTTAACAATTTAACATCTTGACTCTGATTTTATTACATAAAAGAATAATAACTTACCTCAACCCTTTCAATCTTCTGTTTTACTTCATTCTTCATTTTGCACATACTTAAACCATGCGAGCTGGATAACTAATATGCATCCGAGATTATGATTTAACCTTAGAATATCGCCCAGCGACGCTGTCTAGTTTTTCCGTAAATGGAAGCAAAATGATGCGCGCAGTGAAATAAATAAAATATACTATATGGTATACTCCGTCTACACCAAGCATTAAATTGCCTCCATTTATTTATACTTTTCATTCAGTGCACCATTTTGCTTCCCTCTGTGTTGCCAAATTTAATTTTTTCAATGAACATACAGAAAGTAGCAATTTGACCAAACGTATTGATTTCGAAAGTTGATAATACTTGAAATAGAGGTATCCAATTTTGTTTTTAGTGTTCCTTAATTGTTTTTACAAGAATAACATTTTAACACGCTATTCCTTCAATCCAAGATGTTTTGTTTTTTTTTTAAAGGAAAAAGTCATAAAACGACTAACAGATAATAAAATTTAATATTTTACTCAGTGCATCCTCTGAAAAGTCTTCGACAGTTGATAATAATCGAGATATATGTAGGTTCTTTTTTAATTTGGTGATGCGAAAAAGTGAATAGATGTTGAGAGACAAAGAGAATACAATCCGGCAATGCAAGTCGTCTTGTTTTAAATTTATTTTAAAAACTGAAAAAAATTATAAAAATGCTAACGGCTAATAAAAATTTGTCTTTTACTCAGCGCATCCAACCAGAAGTAATAGGAGCATTTTTCTTTGTTTATTACATTTCAATAATATTTTCCACCCAAAAGCACTTAAAGAATTCAACAAACAAACACAAATTTAATCCATAAACTAATTCAAAAAAAGTTTAACATAATGCACGGATGATGGAAATACAACAAAATCAAAGCGTCGATGAAGACACAAAGTTCAAAATAAGCCATAAAATAATATATTGCAACGTTGCCATTACTGTGAGAAAATATTCCCGCCAAGGACTCAAAATAGCCCTTAAAATGAAAAATAATATACGGGCATGTATACGATCACTACGCCACGTGGTGCCAATTTCGTGAACGAAAAAAAATATACGTTTTCCATATCGCGAACGAAATTGCTCCCGGAGCATTCGTTACCACAGTTCTACTGAAACTCACAGAAGGGCAAACTAAAACGAATCAGAAAGATATGGTGGATACTGAGTGAATCGTCTAAATTTGGTTTATTTATGATCCATGGTAACAGAACTATTGGGCAAAACTATTTTGCGTCCGATATACGGACGTAAAATAGTCAAGGACGCAAAATGTAATGTGCGGTGCATGTTGGTGGGTGCAAAATAGTGCGCAGGATATATATATATATATATATATATATATATATATATATATATATATATATATATATATATATATATATATATATATATATATATATATGTATGTAATTTAATTATTTTAACCAAAAAATATAATAAAAATAAACTAAAATCGCGAGTGCATGTAATAATCTATCACTGTCGAGAACGCAGCGAATCCTGCAGCTCCAAACACACCAGCTTTAACTCCAGCTACAATATAACTCACATTATGGGATGAAAGCAGAAATAGCAGGACTACTAACCTCTTAATCCTATCATACCCCCAGTGACAGCTCCGGCGTATGTTCCATTCTTCCAGTCGGATTTACCTCTCATCTAGAAGAGCTCTAACTTTACCACATCCATGGCATTTTCAAAAACCTACCGTCTCTATTGTACACTCCACTCCGGAAAAAACGGCTCCAATTAAAGCGAAATTTTTGGCGTAACCCAGGGTAGTCGTTTTCATCTCTTGAAACACTTGCCTCGCAGTCTGTGTCTCCACGCTCGTCACTGAAGCGGGGCCCATGCTCGAGGAAAACAATCCGATCGCCGCGCCCAACCCGTAACCTAAAATTGCTCTTTCAGCCACGGCTCCGTGTATTCACCAAACGCACACCTACAACGCAGCTCATGATCACCTTAAACGGGCAACTTTCGAAAAAGGCCTCGACCATCTTCTCCTCGTTCGTTTTGATTTGGACGGGTCCCAGATTTTTAGGTATTATAATGTTGTCTCTGTAACGGTAATTGTTGCCCACGAAATAACTAGTCAGGTACGACCATTCTTCGGGAGTGAACGGCCGTTTTTGAGGTAGATCGGACATTTCAATTCGTAGACTTATTCATTAACAAAAATCTAAAGACCATAACCTATTTCTTCTTTTTTTGTTAATAACGGAAAAAAAGGGTAATTCTGAACTTTACGAATTTGGTAGACGGGGAAATTTTTATTGTGGTAGCCCAGCTGCACAGTGCTGTTGATCGAATAAATCACGAAATTATACAAAAATGTGGTTTATATTCGTGTTTCGTAAAAAAAATCCGACATCTCATATTAAAAAAAAATTCGCCATGACCTCAAAATATCCAGTAATAAAATTCACATCCTGGGTCAAAAATGAAATCAAATTTACAAAGATGTTAGCGACATACTTTAAACATAGCAAAAATTTAAGGGATAAAAAAATAGCGAACTTTTCATTGGTGGTGTTTCATTTAATTATTGTAACAATGTAATAGCAATTATATGAAAAAACAAGAAAACAGTACCACTTTTCACAGCAGTATAGAGTATAGTCAACTTAACGATGCGTTTTACAAATTCTGTGGGAACGAATGAGAGTATGGCAGACTATCCTCTTCTTTTACGTTTCACACAACGCGGATTCTCAAGCAGACTAGCTAGAAGATGATTATCGAATATTTAGCTTTAAGGTTAAGCTTCGTTTCCCACGGATCCGAGCCATTTGGGACATTTCCGGGATTTTACCGCACGGGTTTGGGAGTCGGTTGGTGGAAATCGGTTTCCACTGTGTGGATTTAATGTTTTGAGTGTTCAATGAATGTTTAAAAGTTATAATCGTTGTCGACCGAATCATTTTTTCCTGTCTACGTCGTTGTGGTAGCTGAGCACAAATGTCGGTATAAGCTTTTTTGTTAACTGTTAGTCTGTGACCAAAAGAAGAAATTCTTTGACATACGTCGGTAATGGGCGAAAGGCTTGTCCAACAATTGGCGAAAAGTAATCTAACTCTGACTGGAACCTTCGGCACGCACTAACACACAATAACGCGTTTTACCACAAACCGAAACTCAATTTTAATTAAAACTGAGTTTTGAGTTTTAATCTTCTCGTGAAAATGCCAACTTGGTTGACGAAACGCGCGTCGAGTACGTAAAAATGAGTTTCGGCTTGTGATAAAACGTGTTATTGTGTGTTGGTGAAAACTAAGAATAAGAAGTATCCTGTGCTTACGTTGCCACGTTACGGAAAAATGGAAAAGCAAAGAAAGAGTATTTTGTGCTTTAAGTGACGGTAATATGAAATCTTCGGACTGGTCGAGAGCCATTATAAATTAATTCTATTACCAATAAACTCAAGGAGAAATTAAAGCAGAATTAGTGGAAAGGTTCGAAAAACACTTTTCATTTTGAGTAAAATTGAGTTCAGTGCGTATTAATTAAAATTTCGCTACTTACGTTTTTCTTATTATATTGAAAAACTACTATTATATATTATTATAGTGGATAAAAGTGGTGAATAATTTTCACATTTATTTTTTTAAAAAGGTGCTGTTATAATACAAATATCATACAATTATCGGAATCTACTTAAATATGGGATCAACAGCTCTTAAAAACTCCTGATGAAATTTGGCGGTGCTAAAACGGTCGCAAGAAGCCTTCGCCCTATCCCTTATCTGGGCGATTTCCTCCGCGTCCGCTTCCACGATGTATTTCAAAATGTGCGCGAATTCTTCAGCCGTGTTCGCCAAAAAACCTAACCTCGAACCCTCCGAGGTTTCGATTATATCCAGAAGAGGTCCTCCTGATCTGTGAGCCACCATTATTAAACCGGCGGCCATTTGCTCGACGACGCTTATGCCGAAATGCTCATCGAGCATAGTGTGAATTCCGATATAAGCGCTTTGGAATTCTTCAAATAGAGCCTCGTATGGTAGATTCACTTTAAATTCAACATTGTTTTCCAAGGATAGGTGTTTAGACAAATCTCTCAGATCTTTTACTCGGTCAGAATCTTCCTGGTTGCGACAGCTGCCGCATAAAACTAAGGTTATGTTTTCGAATATGTTTTCGGAAACTATTTCTCGTAACTCATATAGGGCTTGCAGTTGCAAGGGGTGATCCTTCTCGGGCCTGAACTGGGCCAACGACAAGATCCTTATTTTATCTGGCTTTTTATTTTCACGAGGGATTTCTTTTAGGCGATCAATTTCGCATGGAGGGTAAACCAGAGACATTGGGGTACTCCACAAGACATTTAGATTTTCGAGGGTAAAAGTTGAATTTACAAGGGTGGTGTCGCTACACTGACCGGCCAAACAGTAGGCCTTCAAAAAGATTATGATAATCTTTGAACATCAATAATAATAACAAAATACTTACCCACGCTAGCAAATGATAGTACACTAGCTTGCCATAGGTTAGAGACGAACTTTGCGCTATAAAACTTCTGTTGTTGTAATTGGTTCTGCGATTTTGCACCCTCCTAAGCATTTCTTTGTTGATTAAGGGGTAATGCACGTAGCATCCCGTCTTACAACCACCAAAATATTTAAATAAAGGTATGGTAAATGTAAAACCTGTAGTTTCAATGAACACATCTACAAAAGCAATATTCATGATTACTTATCATGTTCAATGACTTTCAACAGTACCTGGCACGAACTGGTTAATCGCCTCAAAACCCAAATAAATCGAGCCAACTATTTGCCCTAATAATGTGAAAAAAGGGTATACAGAAGACTCGACCCACCTCCTCTGCCTTAAGTACACAAACTTAACGTTCTTTGGATTAATATCTACGTTTAGCGTGTTTTTAACTTTGCCTAGTATCTCTATCGAAGTGTACTGAACATCCCCGGTGTAAATATAAAAATCTGCATTGCGATACCTAAAAAAGCATTTACCGGCAACACATACATAACACCGGCCCAATTAGTACTTTTCTTGTAAAGCTTTAAGTGCCACCCAGAGCACTCTTTCGCCGCCGCCTCCCGCATTCGCGTAAGGGTGAAACAGTCCCACACAAAGTCGGTTGTGACCCCGTTTCAGTTTGTCAGAGGTGAATTTGTGTTTGAAATAGAAGAAAAACATCGGCAGTAGAATGATCGACGACAACAGCACGAAAATGCTGAAGGCTAGCAGCAATTTTACCGCGAAAGCCAGAGAGAATCTAAAAGGTAAAACTTGTTTCGGAAAGAAAATTCTTTTAATAGAATACGTGCACTTACAAAAATCTAAAGACATGTCCCATGATGCATGAGTTCTTAGATTGAGTATAATCTAAGGTATGAGTTAGTCAGCCTATGTATTTACGCGATTTTTTACATTTTTTCTGATAAGGATTCAAAGTACTCAGTAAATTGACCCACAGAAAAATTAAAAATCGAAATTGGTTGTTCTACATCAATGGGCATGTTCAGTCGTATACAACTGCTGCCAATAATCACAAAACAAGATGGCTTTGTTATTCATTAACGGGGTGAGGATCGGCTCAACGGCACGTAGAGCAGCCGCAAATTATGGCATCCAATCATCTTTGTTTACATTTAATTCGCTAAGTATCAAATGTAACCTAAAAAAATGTTTGGGGTCTAATGAAACTAGCGCTTTTAAGAACTGTTTTTCAGTTTCTCGGCAAATTTTATTAAAAACGAAAGAAATCTTTATTGTAGCACTATCTGTCTATTAATATAAATATATGAGTGTTTCTACAGGTAGCTGCAGTTGATAACTTGGTCGCAGTTGTTGATGACGCTGGCAGAGTACATAACGCAATAGTTTTTAGAATCAACCCTCTGTATACTATACTGAATAATGGAGATCCTATAATAAATTAAAATCAGCATTTAATAGGTGATAATGCTTATCCAGTTTCATCATTTCTCTTAAAACCGTAATGGAATGTTAGCCTATATAGATAATGAAGAACTAAATGAGGATTTTAACGGAAACAAAAAGTTTTCATCAAATTCAAGGGCAGATGAAAAGAGACTACATAGCAAATGTATTGTGAGTTGGTAATTATTGTTAAAGTTAAAATATTCCACATTAAAACCAGAATTATTTCAATAATGTATTTTATTTATTTACAAAAGTAAAAAACCTAAGTAATTGCGAGTAGCCTATTTCTCCAACGTATACCACCTACAATCAGAAAAATATCTAGATGGCAAAAAAAAATCAAATATTTCTCTAAATATATAATAAAGCAAAAAGATATTCTTTATTTTACCTACTTCGTTCATTATGTATTTGGCTGTTTCCTTAGAATCTCTGGTTTTTCTCTTTGAATCTGGTTATTCTCTCGTAAATATGCACAGTTTTTTCAATTCCGCCAGCTTTCCCTCTTCATTGTCCAAACCCTGTTTTTCATACATTTTCAAGAGATTTTGTCTGAACATGTTTTTCTTTTTTGTCTCCATTAATCACTTTACCTTTAGGAGTGTCCATTTGGGTAGATTCATTTTCTAGTTCTATACAATATATAATAGAAGTAATAAAGTACACTTGTGTGTTAAAGAAATTTTTTTCAAAATAAGATACACTATCATCTAATTTTACTCCACTTACCAGTGCTGAGTCCAGGCCACTTTCAATAATGGGTTCACCTTTTTCATCAGTTACCAGATAATAATTTTCTGAAGAAATTACCATTTTTCCTCCCACATTGGATAATTTATTAACGAAATATCTATTACAATTTCGTCACGAAAAACAAGTATATAACACAGTTGATATACTTCAACCTAACCACAAAAAAAAACGCTAGGTAGAAGCATCGTAATATTTCTTCGAAGCGATTGATGCTCAAAGGCTGACCAAAATCAATCGCGCATGGCTTCGCTCAGCCGGTATTGCTGAGGCATCAAACATTTTTGGAAGGCTGAACAAGCCCAATGTTACGTTTAAACTACCACTCTGACCTATTTGTAATCCGTGATTGTAAAATTTCAAATTTATAACCTTAGCAAATTAGCGGTAGAATTAGCTGAACATTTGTTTTTGTGTAATGGTAAGGTGTAATTTAAGTAACGTGCAATATTTAGTATTATTTTTTTTGTAGAGACGTAGTCTAGCGCCGAGCCAAATCGGCAAAGCCGACGTGACACATTCCACACCATTTTCACAAACTGTTTCCGCTAAAAGAACTCGGCAACATTCCAGCGACAAAGCGAATGTAAAATTGCGCAAGCCGCTATCCGCGGTGAATACCACGGAGGTTATCTTCTTGTCGAACCACGTACGTTATATAAAAAAAGGTTAGTATCACGCTACAGGTCTGTTTCGCAGGAGGACATCATTAAAAAATTATCCAAACCTTTCAAATGTCCAATTCCTAATTATGAAGGGATCGCAACGACAAAAAATCTGGGCATCCGTCGGTCGCAACCGAAAAGAGCGCTGTACGATCCCAACATACCGAACGCTTTAGTTTTATATACGCCACCGCCCCAAACTGAGCACGACAAACTCAAATCTGATAAGTATGTGTGGTGTAATCTATTTAGAATATTTATTATTGTTTATCTTTGCTCATACTAGGAATATTTTGGTCCATGTAGTGGTAGATCCAGCGTTAGGCAACATACTGCGGCCTCATCAAAGAGAAGTATGGGGGGCCTCTGCTGGACACGCCGGAATTTAATGGTTTGATTTCAGGGAGTGAAATTTATGTACGATTGTGTGACCGGCGTGCAAATCCCTGATTCATATGGGTGCATCATGGCGGATGAGATGGGACTCGGTAAAACTTTGCAATGCATCACGTTATTGTGGACCTTGGTGAGGCAGGGCCCGGAGGCAAAGCCCCTGATAACCAAAGGTATCATAGTGTGTCCGAGCTCGCTCGTGAAAAACTGGTTCAACGAGATCAACAAATGGCTCAACGGGCGTTTGCCTGCGGTCACCATAGACGGCGGGCCTGAGGTGAAGAAAAAACTCACCCAGTTCATGCAGAGCCAGGGTCGGACTGCGATACCGGTCTTGATAATATCGTACGAAACCTTTAGGATGCACGCGGATATTTTACACAGCAGCGAAATAGGACTAGTGTTGTGCGACGAAGGTCACAGGTATTCGATAGTATTTTTGGCAGAATTTTTCATGATTGCGCAAAATTTCATGATTTCACGGAATTTCGCATGATTTCACATGACTGCCCGAGATTTCACTTGCTTTCCTTTTCCTTTGATTCTGTGCGATTTCACGGGATTTCACTTGATTACTCGATATTAACATGATTTCACGGCATTTTACATTATTGCACCTAATTTCGCGTGATTTCACCTGATTTGACATGATTGCGCGGAATTCCGCTTGATTTCACGTGGTTGTGTGGGGTTTCGTTTGATTGCGCAATATTGCACGGGATTTCGCTTGATGGCGCGATATTATACATGATTGCGCGGGATTTTGCATGATTTCATATGATGACTACGCTTGATTTTATATGATTTCAGAAGTTTGCACGGGAATTCGCTTGATTGCGGTATATTTTACATGATTCCAAGGGATTTCGTTTGATTGCGGGAGTTACACATGATTTGGCGGGATTTTACATGATTTCTCATTATTTTGCGGTACTTCACATGATTGCGCGGGATTTCGCCTGATTGGGCAATACTTCTCGGGATTTCGCTTGATTCGGGATATTACACATAATTTCGCAAGATTTCATATGATAGCGCGGGATTTTTCATGATTTCATATTATGATTGTGCGGAATTTCCCTCGGTTGCGCGCGATTTCATATGATTTCGCTGGACTTCGCTTGATTTCACAAGATTGTACAGAATTTCGCTTAATTTCAGATTATTTTACGATACTTCAAATGATTGCGCAGGATTTTTCATGATTTCATATTATGATTGTGCGGAATTTCGCTCGATTGCGCGCGTTTTCATATGATTTCGCGGGACTTCGTTTGATTTCACAAGATTGCACAGGATTTCGCTTAATTTCAGATTATTTTACGATACTTCAAATGCGCAAGCAGCAAAATAATTTTACTTAAAAATTATGCGTCTATTATTGCGGCTAACAATTGTTATCATAATTAAGATTTTAATTTGTACAGGAACAATTAAAACAAGCACAAAAAGTTTTACTATGCCCAGTGGACAAGATAAGAAACATTGGTATCTTTCTTACAAAAATTGTGTATCAAATTATATGTTATATTTCGTCTCTTAATGCGGGACAGTAATAAATTGTAAGTTTGCAATGACAGGAATCATTAAACATGAAAGTTTTGTCTCTATTAAAAGAGACTTTTTGTTTTAAGTTTTTTTGTAACAAAAATTCATACTACTGAATGGTCAGATGACAGTTCGAAACAGCCTTCAGTACCATTTGCAATGCAGAAGTCTATACCATCGGCAATTTTGTTTTTGTCTGTCGGTCAGTACGCAGAACTCAGTTCACACATTGAGAATTGAGAATAATAATTTTCTCATTTTTAGAATGTGCAGTATTGCTAATCCGTTTCTCAGCAACAAATTGTCACGTAGGTCCTCTTTCAAAACCCTTGACAACCAATATAGTTACAATACGACTAAGATCATCACTAAATTATTCATTTCAGTAAATAACCAGAGCATAATAGACCGACCGGGTATGATGGAAAAGTTTCTTGTATTTTAAATTCTGTTAAAAAGAGTAAAATTTTTTGTTGCACTTTTTGCCTAAAATAGAAATTTCAGTTAAAATTTATGCCAACTAGTTAGTCACAAATAACTAAAAAACTGGAAAGGATTTTTGCACAAGGAGTTCTGTATGTAAAGGATTGTTTTAACAGATATCGATGCGTTTTTGGATTTTTCTTTTTAAATTTAAATGGTATACTTTTTTAGTATCGTTTGGCAAACTGTTTTTTATGTAATTTCAACAATAATTCAATTCAATTCAATAATAATTCAGAGGAACGATAATTCAAAACTTAGTAAAAAGTACAAATTGAAATGACAAAATGATAAAAAATTATTTTTCTGATATAACTATAACAAAATACTCCAATACTATCCAAGTTAGAAGTGCGTATCTTTAATAGTCCTCACAAAACAACGAGCATGTTTTCGATAATTCGCTTTTCCGCTATTAATATTTCTAAATTAAAATAATTTTTATGGCCGTTGGAATTTTTATTTTCAGTCAAAAAATCCCGTAGCAATCAAAAGTGAAATTCGACACTTTCGGGGCTGCGCGCCATTGAATTATCGCCACGCAGCGTAGCGCATTTTCAATGGTTCACCGTTATGGCGTCAGTCGTCGCCCGATGACGTTTTTAGATTTCACGAGTTTCCGCAGATTTCTGGGATTTTGTTTTGTTTTTAGATTAAAAAATTGTGAGAATCAAACGTACCGCGCCCTGATGGGGTTGAAGGCGAAACGGAGGGTGCTGTTGAGCGGCACCCCCATCCAAAATGATCTGCTGGAGTATTTCAGTCTTATCCATTTCGTGAACGAAGGTTTGCTCGGTAGCGCCTCGGAGTTTAAGAGAAAGTACGAGAGTTACATACTGAAGGGGCAAGACTCGATGGCTACCGTTGAGGAGCGAAAAAGGGCCATCGAACGAATCCAAGAACTAACCAATATAGTCAATAAGTGCTTGATTAGACGCACCTCGGCTTTACTAACCAAATATTTACCGGTTAAGTTCGAAATGATTGTCGTGTGCCAGCTCACGCCTTACCAGAAGCAGCTCTACTTGAACTACATCAACTCGGAGGCGGTCAAAAGGACCGTGTTGGGAAACGCCGACGTCGGCAAAAGCGGAATGAGCTCCCTAGCCAGCATCACCACGCTGAAGAAGCTTTGCAACCATCCCGATTTGATACTCGACAAAATCGAGGAGGGTGGCGAAGGTTTCGAGAAGTCCCTCAATATTTTAAACGCTAAAAAGAGCGACAGCGACGTCCGTCCCGAACTCTCCTCGAAACTGATCGTGCTCGACTATTTTTTGGCGAATTTAAAGGCCAACAGCGACGACAAGGTCGTCATAGTGTCCAACTGGACGCAGACCTTGGATTTGTTCGAGAAACTGTGGAAACGGAGGGGTTATCAGTACGTCAGACTCGACGGCACCATGAGCATTAAAAAACGTGCCAAAGTGGTGGAAAATTTCAACAGAAGCGACTCTACCGAGTTTATTTTCATGCTCAGCTCCAAGGCTGGCGGTTGCGGTCTCAACTTGATAGGCGCCAATCGCTTGGTGATGTATGACCCGGATTGGAACCCGGCCAACGACGACCAAGCGATGGCGCGAGTCTGGAGGGACGGACAACAGAAACCGTGTTACATTTACAGATTTTTGACGGTTGGTTATTTGTTTAGACACTAGATACAATTCAGCTGCCGAGTTAGACCACCTACCTCCCAGTCTGGAATAAAAATATAGACCCAGCATGTGTATGTTATGTTTAGCCAATTTTCTCCACATTTTCTTATCGATTCTTTTGTCCTTCTATTTCTTTCTGCTTTCCATCTCATTTTTGGTGCTCCCTGTCGTAAGAAATAGTTTTAGGATTCTAACTCTATACATTCTCTGGACGTCTCCCATTGATCATAATCTTTGGCCTTTTACAACTCCTGGTTCATTATTTTAATTCCTTGTTTTTTGTTCTCATCCACATTGCACTCTCTTCTTTCCGCCTCAGACTGCTAATCAGTCTGCTTTGTTTAGTGTCCATATTTCACTCCCACATGTAACTATGACTGTCACTTTAGCTTTCCTGGATATAGGTTTAGTCTTTTGTAATTTTTTCAATGCATACATACTACAGTTTCCTACCATCAGTCTGCTTCGTAATACTACTGTCATATCCAGCTGTAGGTTTCATTTTTGTCATTTACAATTGTCAGGTATGGTTATTTTTTTAAATCGTTATCTGATGCTTTAACCAAATGAAACCATTTTGTCTTTCAATCTTTTTAAACTTTCTTTGAGTTCTTGTTTACTTCTTGTGAGCAGTGCTAAGTCGTCCGCACGTATAGATCTTTGCCTCCCTTGTGACCTTTTCTAAGTCCAGTAACAGTGGGTTACCCTGCCTTACTCCTATTGTTCTTCTTAGTGTGTCTTGTATAATTTTTTTATACTTTTAATCCTTGTAGAGCTCATTTGTTTTTATTCTATCATAGACTTGCTAGATATTGAAAAACACTACCCATATTGGCTTTTTGTATTCAAAACTTTTTGCTTGAATTTCTCGTAGGATAAACTTTTTCCGTTTTCTCTCTTGCTAACACTACAATGTTTGGTGAGCTCGTCCTCTACTCTAACCTAGCATGTTGCTGTCGTACAATGTAGCAGGTTGCTATGTTGAATTCCCTGTACTTCTTCCTGGAACAAAGCCTGCCTGTTCCGGTGTTATTTGTAGCAGGGTGAGGCCAAATAACAAAAGTATCATCAACTTACAATTTCCATAGTTTTGGTTTTAGATGGGGGGTCTCGAGGGCTTTCTTCTCAGAAGCTTCCAAAAATATATTTGCCATGACTCGTGATGATGGAGAACACATACCGATAGTGAAAAAGCTTTAATCATGAACTATTCGACTAAACTAAAATTCTTGCATGTAATAAATTCTTCTACCAAACCTCAGGTTTTTACCTGTTACCAAAATAGGATGGGTGACTACCCTACATAAAACTTCACCATTTACTCCGCCCTCTGGTACAGAGTAGAATGCGAGTCAGTTTCAGCTACGCAATAAAGAAGGCAACGTCAGCGAACATTAACATTAGTACTAGGAGTTTTTTTTTAGATGATTTTTTTTAAATTTCTTATTGAGAAGCCATTAAGACAAGTCCTTAACTTATAAAATTTTGTTTTTAGGCTGGTACCATCGAGGAGAAGATATTTCAACGGCAAGCCCACAAAAAAGCACTGAGCTCGACCATAGTGGACATGAATGAAGAGACCGCCCGTCACTTCAGCGTGGCAGAGCTGAGGGACCTGTTCCGATTAGAGGAGACAGAGTCCGATACACACACGAAGCTGAAGTGCAAGAGCTGCTTCAATAAAATCGCCATTAAAAATCCGCCCGAAGACGCTGACTGCACATCGGACTTGTCGCAGTGGTACCACTGCTGGGACAAGAAAGGGTTGGCAGACATGGTAAGATAATTACAGCAGTTAAGCAGGTTCAATTTTGAATGGAGAAAGATGTGCAGGTACTGAAGCAGATTTGGGACCTGACGAAGTACATTTCGTTCGTTTTCCATCAAAAGTCAGCGTGTCAGGAGGTGAAGCCAAAAAGCTTTGAGGAGGAAGATCCGGATTATGAAGAAAAAGATGATGAAAACGATTCCGACTATTCCGAATAAGTTATGATTTTATATTCTTATGTTCTTTGAGGAGTTCCCTATAGTTTTGTATTAAGGTCCTGTGATAGTAAGAAATATATATTTTTGAATACTTAGTAATGTTCATTCTATAAGCGCAGCCAAAACTAAAAGTATCAGATATTCCTTGGATTTTCATTACGCAATGGTGAATAAATAAAATATTACCTACTCCACTGCGGTTATGACTGGATAAAACCAGAACGCACGATCGTGACTTCCCATGTTCACTAGCAAATTTGAAATTATCCTGATCGATTTTTATTCCGCGACTGCGAGCCACTTCTCCGGATGTTTTCCGAGAAATTATCCACGGTTCAATTGTGACGTTTGTCAATCTTGACGGTCACGTCACACGTCACTCAGTGGATTTTGCAAAAATGTACACAAAAATTAATCGACGTTGATAAACTTCGTGACTCGAATGCGGTTTACCAAACTTGTTGCATGATATACTGATTTACAATTGGTAATATAATTACCAAATTGAAAACTAATAAAAAGGAGAGTTGTAGGTACTTGTAAATATAGAAAATTTAGAAAAAAAAAGAAAGAAAAATAATAAGCTGGATTTTAACAACAAAGTTTTCGGTTTTTCCCAACGTAAACTAAATAAATCTCAAAAACAAATACCTGTTACAATTACATATAATTAAAAAGAATCAAGAGCCTTTAAGCCTTATACAATAACCTCACTTTCTATTTATCTTTGTTTCCGGTTCATTTTTCTTCAAAACAGTTGCTGCAACCATACTTCCCCTAACCATTTTTTGTTCCTTGCCAAATATTCAATTATCATTTCTTAGATCGCGTTCCTGTGCATTCATTTTGCTTCGAATTTGAAGTTTAAATTTATGTAAGTTTTCAGAATGAACATTTATTTTCGACAATTTTGAGAATTGACAAATTTGAATTTTTGTATCGAGAATTTGCGAATTTTATTTTCCATATAAATGTAATTTTTTCCTGTTAGTAATTGTAATAATTTTTGCGTACTTTTAAGACTTTGATCATCGTCTATTTCTGCTGATGGTTTGATAATATTGTTGTACTACGTTCATAAGTGATACTATTTTCATGATAATTTGATGTACCTGAAATAAACACATTGTTTTGGCATATAATTTTGCTACTGCTGCTATGTGGATACAATAATTAAATAAAACGCTACTGCCAAAAAATTCTCTGTGTTTTATCCCTTAAATTTTTGCTAGGGTACCATATCTTTGAAAATGTGATTTCATGAACCGGGAAATTTTATATAACTACAATTTTGCTAATTTGTATAATTTCCTGGTTAAATGAATAAATATAATAATTTGGCAACACTGTGCGGCCGCAATTAACATTTTCACTACTACCAAATACGAAAACTTCGGTTTTACCACATAAGAAAATAAATGGGTGTTTTGCTTTAAAATTCGATAGCTTTCCGTTTTCTGTATCAACCATAAATTCATTCAATAACAAAAAAATGTAAGACTTACGTAAATCGTAACTCGAATAGTTCGTATTTGAGATCTTCTGAGTTACGCCAAAGGCACAGCATAAATAGTCCCACGTTATTTCAGCGTCTAACCTAGATAGAATTTTCTTTCCATTTTCTCTCTATTATACTCTCCTTTCATTAGTTTATCTGTGATAATTACCGTCCATTTCTTTTGATAATTCCAGTACATTTTTTTTAACCATTGTTATAATTTTACAATAATTTTAAAACAGCTACGTCTCAATTCGGCATTGTTCGATTATATACAACAATTACAGTTTAACACTCAACAGTTGATGTTTACGATTGTTCCGTATCATAGGCAACTATATCATATTGGTTGTTCCGTATAACGAGATTCTGGCGGAACGATACGTTGGTGCAATTTTCGTTTTTCGTTAATTCGGCGCACGCGTTTAGACGGCGCGTCCGCATCTAGTTTACACCGATTTTGACAGATGGCGGTTCTGCGTCGTCACAGACACACACGAAAAGAAAAGCATATGGCGTCGTACGTTACTGTTTTCGCTTGACAAAGGGGTCGTTTCGTGGCGTTTATTTCGAGTGTCGCGGTTCGAAATTCGCGAAAATCTGACCCCGGGTGCCGTTCAGACGCGGCCCGCGGACGTTCCCGTCGAATCGGTCCTTTTATCTCGCGAGTTCGCGCCGTTTACGTATGTTGAGTTATTGTTGACGAATATAAATATTAAAAAGTATATACACACACACCGACCTGTGATATTAAAATTAGTTATTATACATTAAGGATTTCTTTATACACGTTTTTCGATTATTTATTGTACAACAACGCATTAGCATAGAGGTAGCGAGTGGTGAGTGTAAAACGAAGCATGTCTGAGGGGGAAGTTGAAGCTGTATCTTCGCAGCCGAACAGCGACAGCGACGAGATGCAGCCGAAGAGCGGTAAGTGTTTTATTCCATTGCCACCCCGACTGTTTATTTTTTGCGTACTTTTTAATCGATACGCCTTCAGTGTTACGTCCTTCGACGGTGGTGGTCACCTTTGTTTTTTCTCCGATGCTAACGTCGACCCAGCCGAATCGGATTTCCATGTGTTGTGTAATTGTTACGGCTGTAACGTCGTTAGATTTGTTTTTGGTGCAAATTTGAGCCGATTTGTCTTGCGGAACGTTTAAAAATGCGGAAATGCCGATAGAAAGTGCGATTTTCTGCAGTTATCTGGATAAATAGCGGGATCGAGTGCATTCGGCAAGGTCAATATTTAGTTGAAAAATAACGTTTTGACAATAAACAATAAGAAATGGATGCCCGGGGGTTATCTCCCAGCTCCAGAATTGCGGTCGACTTGGTTTCAATTTTTTTTCCTACTTTTTTTGCGTATATTCGAAAAAAAAGTGTTTTTTTTTATCGATTAAATATCAATGTCGTCGAAATTATCAACGCGTGAAGTCCGATCTGCAAGGTAAGTAAAAATTTCTAGAAAAAGTGGAACGCGCGGTGAGCATATATCGAATTTCTAATTGTCAATTCGTAAAAGAATATTACCCCTCTGATTTGAGATTATTAAATTAAATATTACTATAAATGTTGATAAGACGTACGCGCTTTGTTAAAAATCATTGGCCGGATGTTCAGGCTATTCGCAAGGGTGTACGACTTTAATCCCCTCGCTCAGACTTGTTTTTTGTGTCCTTGATAGGAATACGTGCTACCCAGTATATGTTTAATGATCCCGATTAGTTAGTCTACTGGAGCGAAAAAATTGTTTTGCCTTTACAGGGATTATGCGATAAACGACCAAAGAAATTGTGGTTTATTTGCAATTTTTTACCCAAACACTTTCTTCCTTCCCTTGTTACCCAGTGTTTTGAACCATGTTCCTGTAACACGAGTTTGACCATAAACCTTGGTGGTGCTCGATCTCAGTTGGGATGCTCGACAGGACAGAAAATCCTGGTATGAACCAAACCATTACTTTCTTATCGTACGTAAGTTTTGTACCGACATTTTTAAACGACCCGTATAATTACACTCGCTAAAGCCAAATCATTTCGCCAGAGCAATATAAATTATAATCATTGCAAAAACAACGTCCATTAAGTAAGAATTAACTAAGTCAAACTAAAGCGTCACAGAACAGTTTTGGTTAGTTCGGGTTAGTTTTGCTTAGTTAGCATATTATTTTGTTGCCAAACTGATAGACATTACCTGCTACCCAATAAGAAACGAACCACATGTTTTCTGCCATCACAGAACAAAACAACAATCTGCGATTTTTTTTTGTGATGTTCTTGAGAATTGTGCTTTAGTTTTTCGTTTTTAAAGAGAAAATATTTTTGCAATATAACCTCAAATGTATAATTGGTTTCATATTTTGAGGACAATATTTTCGATGTGTTATCACGGGATCCAAATAACTAAGTATACAATACATTGTGTGATTAGATAGATATTTCTACGTTATTTATAGAATCCAACTAAGGTATGAAATTTGATTACACTTTAACCAATTTTGACAAACAGCACTTGGCAACAATGAAAGTGCTACCTAAGCATAAGTATTATAAAATTAAACTAATTTTATTGGGTTTGGATATTTGGAAACTCCCTTGACATCTTTAGGCTTAAGCATAAAATAAGTCCATAAAAAATAGCACTTGGCAACAATGAAAGTGCTAAGCATAAGTATTATATAATTAAACTAATTTTATTGGGTTTGGATATTTAGAAACCTACTTAACATCTTTAGGCTTAGGCATAAAATAAGGCCATAAAAATTATTTTTTCTACTTCCGTGTGTAAAATATCTAATCACACACCGATCTAACTTGCGGGAAGCGTCACTTTACCACGTCAGTTTCGTTTCCCATGAATCCGAGCCACTTCGGACATTTTCGGCTTGGGAGCAATCGAATGTTTTCGGAGATAATTCCCATGCTTTGAATTTTGACGTTTGTCAATTCTGACGGTCATGTCAGTGAATGTATTCGTGTTTTTTTGCGAAAATGTACCAAAAAACAAACGGTCGTAGAAAAAGTATACTATGCAACACGTTCGGTAAACTTAACTCACTTGTGTATTAAACACTCGCTCCGCTGCAATTCGCTCGTGTCAAATAGACTCGCGAGTCAAATTCCGTTTACCGCACTTATTGCATAATATACTATTCTCTGTTTTTTTTCTATTCGACTTTAATTCTATATTTTTATAGACAAAAAATGCCGAAGTGCCGAAATTCTGAACTAAATGTGTTACTTGAACAATAAGGAAAAATTTGTTTTCGAAAAGATGATTTGAGTCCGTTTTGAAAATTTATATTTATTTATTTAACACTGACACCGGCAATAAACTTTTCCCAATTTTCAAAAAGGATTTTAAGTGGATTTTTTAAATATATAACCTAAAAATTGTTTTCTAAATCGGTGTACCTGTTGTGGCATTTACGTTAAAGTCTGTTCATAGATACAAGAAAGTGACTAACTAACTAACCGAACAGGTCCGTACTTTGCTTAGAATTTAATTATTTAGGGTTTTGTTATTAAAGATACTAAACAATATTTATTTATTTATGTATGTAATTATGTTTAAATCTAAGATAAAATTACAAATTATTTTTATTTCCTACTTAAATTACTTAAAACTATTCACATAAAATATCAGTATCACTATCGCTATCATCGCCTGTTATGCCCTAGACTTTTTGCATAATTATCACAGACGTATTCCTTTTGTAAGTCCAAGCTTTGTAGAACCTCAATTAATTGTTTTTTGGTATAATCTTCGTGAAAATAAATGTAGTAGTTATTATACATGTAGTTTTGGATTGTTGCTTTTGTGTCACATGAGGAATGGGTTTTAGTCAACTGTCTACTGTGATAACTTGCATTGTCCATTACAATTTCGCTATTAGGAGGAATGTTTAGAACTAGTTTGTTTTTAAACCAACTTTCAAATAAATCAGCGGTGGTGTCTTCATGGTAATCCAGAGAAGAATCTTTAATATTTTTCTCAGACAGAGAAAGTCCATTTGGAATCCAACCAGCATCGCTTCTTTTTTGCTGAAATGGGATTATACACAATTTTTCATACTGTTTATGTTGCAATTTCCGTCAACGTGGACGTTTTTTCTTAAGATTTCTAGCAACACGTTCAATGAGAGTCAAATAACACACACAACACACGAAATAAGAATGATTACTAATAAACTTAAACTAAGTAGTATACCAAACCAAAGAATATTAAACACAGGTAGGTATAAAATTATTTTCTATTACGGACCACCATTTTTCCTGAATTTAGATTCCGAAACTTTAGATAATAATCTTGTTACATTGTATGTTAATGACCACCGTTGGATAATCCCATTCAAAAGCAATTGGTCACTTTCTTTTATCTATAAACAGACCATACCTCCATTATTTTTATAAATTGAAAGTTGCGATTTTCGCAACAGTGTACCACTTTTTCGTTTTTAGCAATAAATTCGTTTGACTTCTAGTACCGTATGGATTTTGTTAGTTTTGTAACCAACTTACTTATAAAGCCTTCTAATATTGCATATATCCTTAATACGTTCTAGGTGTTGAATCACAACAAGTGGCTCCAAGACTAGAAACTGTCAACTGGTCCCTGAAAATCTGCTCAGTCAACGATTTGTAAATTGACGGAAAAAAGTCAGTTATTTGTAACTGACGACCGGATTTCTTATTTTGGTTTTCAACAAAAGCTTCAATTTTATTTAAACAATCATAGAGGGAATCGGTTGTGTATTCACTGGTTTTCAAATAGGAACGCAAGGCAATCAACGAATTTTCAACCAATTCATTTGAAGGTGGTTGCTGAGAATCATCTTCCAATTCCTCCTCCATCGTGTCATTTTCGCAGTTATCTTCGATGTTTAACTGTACCGGTTCGGATCTGCAGGACTCGATAATATCTTCATCAGTAGGAAACTCTGAAGTAACAATATGCTCATCCACATGTATAAAATCGTTGATGGTGCTACCTTCTGCTGTACCTCTAATGTTTGTCCAAGCTTTAAACTCGATTTCTATTTGGATTTCGTCTTCACTCTTTTCTTTCAGGCGTTCACTTAGGAAAATCAAGGGAATCTCATCCTCTTCTTCCCATTCAGAATACTGACCAAAACCGGCTTTTTTAAAACAATTGGAAATTGTTTCAGGCTTAACGTCGATATTCCATGCGGTAATTACGTCGTCAACACAATCCATTAGTGTAATGTTATTGTTTTTGTTCTCTTCGAAACAGGCCACTGCGGTGATGACTGAATGTTTATTTTTCAAAATTGTAGACACTGTACTTGCCGAAATCCCATACTTCACAGCTACATCTTTATTTTTTGAGCCACTTTCCACTTCTTTTATAACCTTGAATTTTTGATCAACAGACAAAGCTTTTAAAGTAAGTTTTGATGACATATCAACAAATGAAAAAATCCAAAAATGTCTTTGATATAATGTGTAAATCGAATAGGGATAGTATTTTTCACTTAGTATTAACTAGTAAGTCATACAAGTGAACTTAGCAAACACAGAAACTGAACTGCTTGCATAGATACGTTAAAAAGAGAGGTTAAGATCGGTCGTAATTAGGGGGTTCCCCGAGAAAATTCGACTTATCGAAGTTGGCACCAAATATTTCGTTCGAGTTATCAAGATATTCGAATAATCGAAGTTCAAGTAATCAAGACAAACTAACACGCATTTCCTAACTTTTGACGCTATTGCCAAACAATTTGGTTCGACTTATAACCAAAAATTCGAGTTATCGAAGTTCGAGTTATCGAAGTTCGACCGTATTTACTACCCCAAATGGCGTCCGAGCAAATTCAAACATGTTATCGAGTCTAACAAAGGCGGTTTTGTGTTGAGATTCTTTAGTAACTGGTATTTGATAATATCCAATTCTTAAGTAGAGTGTTT